GCTATCGATGACCCCTTTATCATCACTGAGTCCCTCAGCACAGAGAAGCGAACTGTGGTGTTGGTTCCACAGGTTGTGCATGTGCCAACGGAACATAAACTTATACGCGTGCATGCGGGGCAATGGCACAGTGGGGTTATCAACACGGCGGGGGAACTTTTTACGTGGGGCGTTGGGTACCAGGGCCGTCTTGGGCATGGCGACAAGGAACCAGCGCTTGTGCCAACCAAGGTACGCGGTGCTCTCACCGGGCAGCATGTGATTGATGTGGCGTGTGGCTCCTTTCACACCGTGGCGTTGACAGAGCGTGGTGCTGTGTATTGCTGGGGCGACAATGCCAGTGGGCAATGCGGAGCAAAATCCACCATCGATGCGGTCACGTCACCGTATCGGGTTGTGAATCTCGAGTTTGTTGCGGGAGGTGTCGCCAAGGCAATCTCCTGCGGCCGTCAGCATACGGTGGTGGTGATGCAAGGGCCACAGTCGTGGTGCCAACGCTCGTGCTGCAAGTTGGACCACAATGGAAAGCCACGGGCCCCACATGGACAGGTCTTCACTTTTGGTGAGACAAGTCGCACAGGTGGCGGTGCTGCGATAAGCGGCGGTCCCGTCATCTGCGGTAAGATGCAAGATGGCAAAGTTTACCGCCAATTTCGTCTTGTACCATCACTGAAGGACCTAAACGTCATTAATGTCAAGAGTGGTTTGCACCACACGTTTGTGTTTGCTGAAGAGTTGTCGAATCCCATGACGGTAGCTGGAATGGGCACGACAGCCATGGCGGGCGGCGACTTCCCGGACTACTCGGGCACGCAGTCTTTGACATCGCCAAGAGACTGGGCGATTAGTGATGCATCCGCTGGAGTGTCAGTGAATTGGCGCAAAGTACGCAGGGGAAATGAATAGTGATGCGGAGTGAAGACCGGAGATGCATAAAAATGGATATCCAAGTTTTTTTAATGCGACTTTTTCGTTTCGTTTTTCGTTTGTTTAAGCGTGTGTATATGTGCATGTGCGTGTGCGTGTTTTTGGTTACCTCTCTCTTTCTTTTTTTTTTTTTTTACTGCTTTTGTGTGCATCGTGTTGACGTGGTACATTCTGTTCTTTTGACGGGGCGTGCTTTTTCTCTGTGGTGAGGGGCGGGGTGGGGACGTTGGTTTATGTTGTTGATTCACAGTGGTGTTGTGGCGGGGTCTCGTGCTTCTGTGCATTCTCGTCTGAATTAAAAAGGGGGAAAAACGTGACTTGGTGGGCGGGAGGGAGGCATACATGTGTGTGTATATGCGTAATGGATGTATATTGTGGTTGAGTCGGCGGTCATTTGTGGTTCCCATCCTCAAGTCTTCTGCGGGTTGTATCAGGGCGAAGGGACATGCATGCATCATTATTTTTTTGCCTCTCTTTCTCTTTCTCTCTCTCTCTCTCTGTGTGTGTGTCTGTTTGTTTGCGTGTGTTGGGGAGGGGTGGTGAATTTTTGATTGCCAATGTGGCCATATATATATATATATATATTGGTTCCCTCTTCATTCACTCACTCACGTGAAGTCTTTTTTTTTTTTTGACTTCCCACAATTTGCGTGTCTTTTCTCCCCCCCTTTTTTATTTTGATGTTTGTTTTTCGGTGCGCCCGCGGCTGCTGCGGTGGGGCGTTGAGGGGCATACGCTGCGGGTTTTGCTGCCGCCCAGCTGTTATGTGCACCACGAAATGCCTCTCTTCTTCTCTTTTACTTTTTTTCATTTTCTCTCCTTACATGTCCCTCCTTGTGTGTGGTGTGGCCGTTGCCCCTTGCCTGTGCACACCGCGGGGCAGACAGACGGAGGCTCACATCCATTAGATCGATAGAGGGAGAAGAAAGAGGGTGCGGGACTGCACGGCGATAACGCGACGGCATACACGGAAGGTTGTGTTCGCGAGGCCTGCTCGACTGTGCGGTGAGGGGGTTTTGTCCGCCGCGACATCCACACGAAGTTTGGGTTGAAAAGGGAGGGGAGGGGAGCGATAGACACTCGTCGTCACACGGAGGCAGTCACGCACCCCCCCACCGCGGTTTTTTTTTTTTTTGCGATTTTGAGATCCTTTTTTTTTATTGTGTGTTTTTTTGCATTTTAGATTTTTCGCCGCGCGTTTAATTTGTGTCTCCGCGCAAAATAAAAAGAATTTGTTGGGTTGCACGTCATGCACCAGCCACAGGCGCAGCAGCCAGTGATGCCGGCGCGGCGGTTTCCCTCGGCGCAGCAGCCACTCAGCGAAAAGCCAGAGTTCCGCGAGGGGTCCACGCTGAAGGAGTTTGACAAGCAGGGCCGTGTTGTTGGTCGCTTTCGCTGCGGGCGGCTGCTCGGCCGCGGTGGTTTCGCGAAGTGTTACGAGGTGGAGCGGGATGGCGAGTCGTATGCACTCAAGGTGATTGACCGCTCCATCCTGCAAAAGACCAAAACATTGCAGAAGCTGCACTCGGAGATCTCGATTCACCGCCGCATGAAGCACAAGAACATTGTCAATTTTATCCGCACCTTCCAGGACGACTGGAATGTGTACATGTTGTTAGAGAAGTGCAGCAATCAGACCCTCATGGAAATATCAAAGCGCCGGACGCGCTTCACTGTGCCTGAGACACAACACATCATGCTGCAGGCGCTTGCTGCTATTCATTACATGCACGATCAGTGTGTCATTCACCGCGACCTGAAACTGGGAAACATGATGATGGATGCCGAGATGAATGTGAAGATTGGGGACTTTGGCCTTGCTGCAGAGCTTCAGTACGACGGTGAGCGGAAGCGGACGATTTGTGGCACGCCAAACTACATTGCCCCTGAGATCATTGATAGTGCTCACGAGGGGCACAGCTACGAGGTGGACATTTGGTCACTGGGTGTCATTCTTTACACTCTCTTGGTGGGGGAACCACCTTTCCAGACGTCCGATGTGAAGGCTACTTACCGCCGTATCAAACAGTGCCGGTATGAGTTTCCCTCTCGACTGGATATACCAGAGAGCGGGAAGGAGCTGATCCACCGCATTCTGCAGAGCCGTCCTGATCATCGTCCGACACTTGTGGAGATACGCACTCATCCCTTTTTCCGCTTTCCGACTCCTCCGTCCAGCGCGCCACTCTCGCTATTTCCCTCGTCGCGTCGCCGCATGGAGGTGGAGGGGCAACAGCAGCCACAGAAAACGTGGAAAGGCTCTGAGACGGCTCCCGCCGCAAAAACTCAACGGGAAGTGCTTCGGCCACTCAACACGAACACTGTGGCTCCGGGGCGCCAGCCGGCCCAGCCAGGGGCCGGACCACAGGCTCTCCTCTACGGTGGCACGGTCCCTAATGCCTGTAACCAGGGGAAGGTGGAGGAATCAGGGGAGCCGCCTTGCGTCGATTCTGCTCGCCCCTTACCAGGAGGTGTGCCGAAGGGCGAGAGGCATGTCACGGCACCTCGTTCGACGTATTATGTGCTCGACGATGAGGAGAGGAATCACCTCACCGCCGTCCACGACCACCTCCAGAAGACACTTCTCGGCGAGGTTGACCATTACGGTAGCGAGAAGCCGCTCATGTCTCTGCCACCAAATAACACCGGAAAAGTATCGAAACCACTCACAATGACCACCACAACAAAAGCAGGTGGAGGAGGGATAGAAACGGCAGAGGAGGACAAGGGGGCAAAGAACGAATTTCCACTCCCATCCGTTTGGGTGACAGATTACGCCGATTTCTCTGCAAAGTATGGACTTTGCTACAGGTTGAGTACGAGCCACACAGGCGTGCACTTCAACGACTCCACGAAAATGGTGTGGGAGCCCATCACGGGTCGTGTGGAGTATTATGCGCGGGTCAAGGAGGTTGTGTCGCATAACAATGCCGGTGTTATGCACGCCAGAGACCAGCGTCAGGCATTTCACATGGAAACATTTCCCGAGAGCCTCAACAAGAAGGTAACACTTATTAAGTATTTCAAGTCCTACTTGTCGCGCGCCCGCAACGGACGCGAAGGAGTGGAGGTGGTGCGTTGTTCGCCGTACATGGATCCGACACCTGTGTTGCTTAGCGAGCCACATATGATTGAGGACATTGTTTACGTCAAGCGCTGGCTTCTCACACCGCATGCAATGATATTCCGTCTGTCTAATAAAACTATCCAGGTTTGCTTTCATGACAAGGCGGAGGTTATTCTCAGCTCTGAGTCGCGGGTCGTGACATATACCGATGCCTCGGGTCACCGCATCACCGTACCACTGTATTCAGCGACCTCCCACTCGAATGAAATTGCGTCGCGGCTGCGGTACACCAAGGACATCCTTTGCGAACTCATTCAAAATCGTGAATTGTAGCTGTGGCTACGGGATCAACGAACGCAGGAAGGAAGAGAGGGATGCGATTGGAAGGGTAGACAAAATATATTATGAGGTATTGCTACAGCAACATACGCAACACCACAGAAGAGCCAACTGTCTGCCGCACAACTCCACCTTTTTTCTGCAGTGTTGTGTATGTTGGAGGTGTTCTGCCGAGGACTCTACGCGGGTGCTGTTGTAGAAGTTTAGTTCTCTCCCCCTCTCTCTTCTTTTCGTTTTTTTTTTTTTTTTTTTTTTGAGATTTATGTGTTTTTTTTTTTTTCTTTTGCCTTCACATCACATGTACGTATACATAAATTTGTGCACATGTATTCTGTGTAGACGCACCTTCCTATTTTATGCATGCACGTACGTGTGGGTTCAACATGCATGCTTAATTCACCCATAAGTAGAAGAGGGTGGGGAGAAACGAATAGATAGACAAGACGGAGTGGCTGCGTGGGTGTGTGGGCAGGGCGAACAAAATGAGTGGTACTGACCGCCACCACCACCACCACCACCCCTTTTCTCCTCCTCCTCCGCCACGTCCCTTCACTCCTACGCGTTTCATGCGTGTCGCAGAACCATCCAAAAAAAAAAAAAAAGAAAAGAAAAAAAGAAAAAGAAAAGGCACAATTGAAAGGAAAGCGGGGAAAAAAAAGCCGATACGCACACACACACACACACCGCGGAACGAAAGGAGAAGAGAAGAAAGGAAAGTGGGGAAGGGAGAAGGAATGCAAAAAACACTCAGACCGACAGACGGACAGACAGTCGCACGTACAACAAGTAAGAGCGGAAGAAAAGAAAAAAGAGATGAAATGTGGGCTTAAAGAACAGAGAGAAACGGCTGAGGGCACGAGTAGACGGAAGAAAAGTGCCTCTGACGCCGCATAGTTCTTGACGAGAAGGGCGACAGTCGTGAAGTTTTTGGAGTGTTTTTGTTTCTTTTTTACTTTAATTTTATTTTGAGTGTGCCGTTTTTCTCCTTTTCTTTTTGGTTTTTGATTTGTTTTGCTTAACGTCTTGTTTGTGTGTGTGTGTGTGTGTTTGGCTGTGTCCGGCTATTTTGGGGTTTACTCAGACAACTTGACCTTTGCTGGTGCCGATGGTGTTTTGTGGCACCGAGTGCGAGAGGGAGTTGAAGGGCTGCTGATGTCTTTCTGCGCGTTGCTGTTTTTGAAAACTGTTTTCATTTCTTTTGTTTCTTTTTTTCTTTTTTTTTTTTAAATTTATTGGCTTCACTGCGGGATGCGTCCGTCCGTCTTTCCGTCTGTGAGTTTGTGCGCCACACCTACGGCGGCTGTTATTGAGGGAGGGAGGGAGAGAAGCGGGGGAGTAGTAAAGGCGATCAGGTGGCTCAGCTGTTCTTGTGAGGGGGGCACGCAATAAATACGCCACATATATAGATCTATCCTTTATATATATATATTATATGCACATATATAATATAATATACTTTTGTTTTAGTTCTGCTAGAAATTTATTTTTATTTTTTGACTGCGACGGCAGCGGTAGCGGCAACAGAGAGGAAGGCTGTCAGCAGTTTTAGGCGAAAGGGCTCGGATGGGCTGTGGGGCGAGTCGTAACGTTAAGGCTGACGCCGATGTCTCATTGCCCGTCTTTGATCCTTTGCACCACGGCGTGCGGGGACGCGGTTTGATGGACTCAACGCAGCGTTTGCTGGGGAATGGGGAGAGAGTGTCATTGCTGCATGGTGGCGGTGATGATGACGAAGAAAACGAGGTGCTCTCTGACATCACCATCGAATTATCCACGCGGAGCTGTAGGAGTGGCGTCACGTGTGGCTCCTTTCTGTTCAGGGAGAATGAATTGGTGCGGCAGTGCCAGGAGGTGCCACTCTCCATCGAGGAGGATCTTTTTGTCTACGATGATGTCGTCGTCTCTAAAAATGAGGCGCAGACAAAACACTGGCGAATTGAGGGACGTAGACCGCTGGCGTCAAGGCGGGTATCGACAAGGCTGAAGGGAGGCGGCCCCTCGGATAATTTGTTCCACTTCACGGACTTCAATATTTGTGTTGACGAGGTCGATTTGGCGGCGGATCAGCAGACGGGCGATGGTGTCTTGCGACAATTGTCTATTCAGGAAGGGGCTCAGCAGGCGATTTTGTTGGGGGCCACAGTCGTGCGGACATTCAGCGCGGCCCCAAACACGGTAGCCGCGATGCTGCGGACCAGTGAGCCAATGAGCCGAAAGGAGTTTTCTCGGCTTTTGCGGGAAATTCAGGTGGAGACGTTCATTGGACATGCGTCGCGTGTGAAGTGTATTTCTGTTTTTCCAACGGAGCGTAGTTTTGTGAGTTGCTCGAGCGAGGAAGCCTCAGTGACATTGCGCAGTCTTGTAACGGGGAAGGAGGAAGGCATATTCACCGGTCACCGTGACCTTGTTATATGTACTGCCGTCTCCCCGGATGGCAAGTATCTTGCCACCACAAGCAAAGACCAAACAATGTTGATTTGGGACGCCATTATAACGAAGGTGCTGCACATATTAAGGCACGGAATGGTGGTGATTTGCTGCTGCTTTAGCCCAGACAGTAATACTGTGGTTTCAGGATGTCAAGATCGTGTCTGTCGATTATGGGGCGTCCGGAAAGGAAAGGAACGAGTGGCTTATAGCAAACATGCTGGCATTATCGTCAGCGTGGCATTTAGTCCGGACGGAAACTATGTCTGCAGCACATCTGCAGACCGAACGCTTCATGTGTGGTCAGCAACTACAGGCAATACATACCTGAAGCTAAATGGCCATGTAGGTATTGTTTTGGCCTGTAGTTACACTTCCGATGGAAAATATATCATTAGTAATGATGAGACGCATCTTTGCGTCTGGTCAGCTGCTGATGGGTCATGCCAGCTCCGCCTAGCTGTCACGGAATTGGCCGGTAAACCACGTGGCACATCCCGCGCTGGGAAGTTGGCATGGACATCTTCATGTGCTGCACCCGGTGCCTTCACGCGGTACATGGCTGTGGCCTGCACTAATCGTTTTGTGTATATTCTTGACATTTGCAATGGCAGTGAGCAAAGCAGCGTGTTTTGCAAGGCCCCTGTGTACTGTTTGGCGGGTGGCTATAAAGAGAAGATTGCCTTTGGGGACAATTTTGGTAATTTGTACGTTAAGACACTTTTATAATTCCAAACTGATGCCAGCGGACGCAGAAGCCATCAAAAGGGGATGAAAGTTAACTCAAAGCGAGAGCCGAGTGGGCGAATAGAGAAAAAAGGGGGAGAGAGAAGGGAGGGAGAGGAAAAACCTTCTGCTGCGCCATTATTTCCATCATCACGGGCGGTTTCAATTGGTGTGGCGCAGTTTTTCAGCTTCGGCTTTTTTCTTTCTTTTAACGAAGGCATTATTATTATTATTATTGTCGTTGTCTTTTGTTTTGTTTTGAGCCAGCCGAGGAGAATTCTTCCTTTTCCTGTATTTTTCTTTCCACAAGACTTAAGGGCTTTTTTTTTCCCCATTGCAGTGTGAATGGAGTGTCGGTTTGCCTTTTTTTTCTCTCTTTTTTTTTTTTTTTGCTTCACCTGCGTTAAACCCTCGCGGTGGTGATTGGCGTCACCTGCCCCCTTTCAGCCTGCGCAGCAGTCGGTGTGTGTGCATGTCTGCTGCGGCCACAAGAACAACAGCAAGGCATTATTATTATTGTTATGGTTATTATTATTGTTTCAAACAACTATTTTTTTTTTTCTTTTAATTCCTTTCTTCATATATGCCATGACTGCATGCAAATTAAAATATGGCTGCGCATACACGTGGTATATATACCATATAATATATACCATATGTATGCGATGTATCTGTACGTACCATTTTTGTGTATATATTTGTGTTTGTACATATTCCTCCCCCCCCACCAACACTGCAGTTTTGCAGGAGTTCATGGAGGTGTTGGCACGCCTGCCTTTTTTTTGTTTGTTTGTTTTGCCTCTTTGCATATGTGTGGTTTCTGCCGATAAGTGTTCATGTGGTGTGAGTCTTTGCCAGTTGTGCGTATTTACCTGATAGTCTGTCTGTCTGTCTGTGTGTGTGTGTGTTGTGCGGTGCATTGCCGCCAGAGCACCGTGCGCATTTATATGGGTGTCCGCCGGTAAATCCCCGATACGTCCCACTACATGCCTCATGCACACTGCGAGACAATTCTTTTTTTTTTAACTTCACTCTTTCTTTTTTTTTTTTTTTTCCGCATATCTTCTCCGTGGCGATGGTTCACGTGGAGGGCGGGAGCCTGCGGCTGGGAAGACAGACAGGCCGGAGGAAAGGCGGTTGCAGAAGGGTGTGTGAGGGATAAAAAGAAGAGAGGAAGGGTTACCAAAAAGGAATTTCTTTCTTTTTCTCACTCAAACTCACACGTACCACACATACGTTATATATTTGTTAAGGTTGCTGCTAATAATAATAATAATAATAATAATAATAAAAATTAGTATTATTATTAGTTTTTCTTCCTGTTTGCCTGTGCGTGTGTGTGTGTGCGTAATATTTGCACGATTGCTGGGCGCATCGTGCTGGGTGTGTAGTGAAGTTATTACGCACATTGACTTCTTATATATATATATATTTATATATTTTTTTGGGCGTGTGTGTGTGTGTGTGTGTGTGTGTTTCTCTTTGTGCCGGCGGCAGATATGAGTTCTTTACCGTCGCATGTACGCATTTTTGTTCGCACGAGGCCTACGGACTTTATCGCGGACGACGTCAACATTCAGCCAAATGGGACGCTGTACATCACAAGACGAATGAAGGCAGGCATCACGGCAGCTCAGCACACACACAAAAAAAACGGAACATCGAGTAGCTCTGCCTTTGCCGGCGGCGATGGTGATGGTACCCTGTCGTCATTGACCTCTGAGGCGGCTGGGGCCTCTTCCCAGGAGAAACTGGCGTTCACATTTGATGCGGTGCTGCACAACGCCTCGCAGGAGGCGGTGTACGACGCGACCGCCTCCGAGTTGGTGGAGTCGCTGCTGCAGGGCTTGAACTGCACACTTCTTTGCTATGGCCAGAGCGGATCAGGGAAGACGTACACGCTGTTTGGCGGCAACACGTACACCACACGTGGGTGCGTTCCGCGTGCCGTGCACTCCATGTTTGAATCCATGGCGGAGTCAACGGACCACGAGTTCAAGGTGCACCTCACGTTTGTTGAGGTCCACGGGGATCAATTGTTTGATCTGCTCGGAAAGGGGCCCGCCGCTTCCGTGAGGCCAGGCGGTAAAAACAATGCGGCTGAAAAAGTTGTTGTGACGCTTGACAGCAACGGCGATGTTGTGCTGCGCGGGGTGGAGGAGCGGCAATGTGCCAATGAAGGCGAGGCCCTGGCGGCTATGTTTGAGGGCCTGCAGCGACGCATGAGTAGGCCGAACTCATTCAGCCCGCAGAGCTCATACTCGCATGCCGTACTGACGTTTCATGTATTGAGCAAGAGTCTGGTAGACAGTGACGCTCTCGTCCATCATTCTCGATTTAATTTTGTGGATTTGGCCGGGATTCAGCGACCCGCCCCGCTGGCAGACGAGGCTGCGAGGCAAGAGGCAAAGATCATCAATCGCTCCATTATGATGTTTGAACAGGTCGTCCTGGCACTCTCTGGCCCTCAGCCTCGCCACGTGCCGTACCGCCAAAGCAAACTTACCATGTTACTGAAGGACTCTATTGGTGGCACCAGCAGAACGACCCTCATTGCAAACATATGGCCCGAGGATCGTCATAAAGAGTTGACCTTAGCAACGTTAAACTTCGCCAAGCGTCTGGTGAGGATTGAGTCACATCCCGCTGTGAACACCTCCACGGACCCAGAGGCACAAATCAGGATGCTCCGGAGGCAGGTGACCAGCCTAAAGTCCGAGTTACGTATGCAGGATCAACTGGCTGGTCGTGGGGCGGTCCCTACCGCGCCCCTGGAAGCCGATGAAATCCAAAATGCGCGGGAGCTGGTCATGGCTTTTGTTTCTGGCTCAACACCACAGGTGCGTGTGGGTTCTGTGCGGGAGATGCATGCCTGTTTTCTGGTCTTCAAGAACCTTTTGGGCGAGTGTGAGGCACAGCTGAGAGAGTCGCAGGTGCAGCGGGAATTATCGCCTCGCCAGGGTAGTGCCACCAGTATGAAGAGCGTGAAGCGAAAAGGGGGTTTGAGGCAGCACGGCTCCTCCGAGTACAAGGAAAATACCAGGTACGTGAGCAGTGTCGAGGATGCTGCGGCGGGTGTGGGCATGGGCACGATAGAACGACTAAGCCCTGTCATTCGGGAAGTGTTTTTTCAGCGTCAGCGCAGCTGCTCGAACGCCGGTCCGACGGGGCTGTTGGGGGCGAGGGATATGGGCGGCGATGGGCAAACCCCGGGCCACACACCCACACCTCCAGTCGCCACAAACACCACGGCCCCCAACAACATTACGGCGGCTGGAGTCGCTGCTTCTACATTCCCTACTGCCGGGGCCACCACCCGTGCTAAGGCGGCTGCATTGCCGCTCCCAGATGGCGAGAAGATGAAAATACAGGCCCATTCAAAACGTCAATCCTCCTCTCCCCCGACTGAAAAACTAAAAACCAGCCTTCCACCTCTTGAGTGCGAAAAAGCCACAACGACTGTGTCCTCTTCCAGGTTTTTGGGAATGCAGGATAACGCGATTCGTGACAGACGAACGGCATTTGAGGCATATAAGCGCACAAGCGGGGGAGCTTGCCAGTTGGAGGCCATAGAGAATGCTCGAAAACTTGTAGCAGAGAAGAAAGAAAACATATTGCAGCTCCAAAAACGAGTGAAAGAGATTAGGTTAAGCATGGAGGAAAGTAAGAAGTCTGAAGGGTCTCAAACCCCCGTCATGGAAGAAAATGCGATTGCAAGGCATGCGTCCGTAGATGCGACACACTCATCCTACGCGTTATTTGAAGGAAGTCACAGCGCGACTGAGAATAATGTGAATTTTTCCGAGTATTTTTCTACGTCACCCGTGGAAAACCTCCCTCACATGACGTTAGCAGAGCGGAAGGCTTTTTTGAACCTTTCAAAAAATGCTCTGACGAGGGCCGTGATGGAAAGTGGAGTTCTTGAGAGGCGGTTCAACCGGCTATGTGATGCATTTATGAGCAACTTTCAGTTCTGGCACCAATCCCAACTCCAGCCGCAGTTTCTGACGCCAGAAGAGGGGGCGGCGGCAGAAACAACTAATTTGAACGCCAATTATTCCTCGAGGGAAAATAACTCTTTTCAGATCAGCGTTCCACGCGTCATGGCAAAGGGGGAGGGTGAGACGCGGTTTGTTGACGCTGCGGAGCGCCTGGAGACTCAGAACATGCAGCAGCAGCAGCAGCAGCAGGAGGAGGAGGCTCTAGAAAGCGCGGTATTCTACGCCGCAAAGAGACTTGCGAGAAGGGGGTTTCAGTTGCGTGAGTAAAAACGTGAATATACTCGCATGCGGCCGGAAGAGCAAAAGCGAGTTAGAGAGGAAAAAAAAAAAAAAAAGAGAGAGATGGGATGAAAAACAAAGACAAAAGAGGGTTGAGGGAAAAAGAAGAAAAATATATGGAGGGAAACAGGAGGAATGTAAATGGGGAAAAAAAAGGGGGGGAAAGGAAATGTAAAGCAGTAAGACCAAACACTGAAGGAATCGAACAGTGTAAAAGCAGGTGCCTATGGAGGGGAGGGGGCAATGAAGCTTCGTCTCGAGACGGTTATGTACAGTTGTATGTTTATCCACCCACCCACTGACTCCCCACCAGTAAAAAGTATGACAAAAGAGGGACGAGGGAGGCAAGGAGCGTGTGTGGCATAGTGAAGAATTGGGCTTCAATCATCACCCGCTCAGGATTTTTCAAAAATAAAACAAAATGGCGGTATATGGCTAACTAACCACGTACCTTTGTGTCAAGTTCCCTGTGTCTATGCGTGCATGTTGGTGTTGCACCGGATGCCCTTCAAGGGGGAAAAGGACGTTGAAACCCCACTCTACCTTCCTTTTTTTTTTACTTGTTTTGCGCCCCTGGGGGTGGATGCGAAAGAAGAATAGGGAAGGGGGGGCTGCGACGGCCTAGACAGCAAGGCAGGCATACGTGTTAGCACAGGGGGTGAAGCGAGGGAGGAGGTCCCACTCTATTTTTTTTTTTTGTGCTTGTACTTTTGCCAAAGGGAACCACACGGAGGGAGCGAGTGATGAACGTTATCCCGGCACTAGCGAAGGAGGTTGTCAGACGGCTAATGAAGCGCACCGATGAGGCCGCTGCGCTGAGGGTCACGGAGGATCTTGCAGCCTTTGTGGTGCGGCTCTCACTCTTTGATTCGCCACACATTGATGAGAAGGGCAACGTTGCAGAGACACCGGAAGGGATTGAGGCGATGGCAGAAGAAATTTCAAAGTATTTTGTCAAGTGCTCGCCGCATGTGTTGGCGACGCTGTCTCTGCAGTGCCAAACGGCCGGGCTACGCGGTAGCTTCACGAATAAACGCCGCAATGAACAAGTGAAGCAGGAGGCAATCACATTACGTCTGCTGGGCTCACTCTGTGAGAACTCAACAAGTCAGCCGGAGGAAATGCTTAGCGAGATTGCCTTTTTTATCCTTCATCGCTACCGCCAGCTGAATGCTGCCCAAGGGAACGTGGAGTCGCGGAAGGAAACTGTGGCAGTTCTGAACGCGGTCCTGCCGCGGTCACAAGTGCGTTCTTTTGCAAACCAGCCGGCGGAGGAAAAGAGGCGGCAGTTGGAGGAACTGCACCGCATCGTATGGGGGATTCGTCTGTACAACAAGGCGGAGGGACGAACCGCGGGTGCCGGCCTCCTGTCGCTTCATGAAACCGCGGAACATCTAATGACTCAGTTGGATAGCTGCATTTCGCAAGAAATCCATGCCGCCACAGCCGTTTGCTCGGATTATGTGAAGTTTTTCCACTCCCCATCGTCACCTCTTGGCAGCCCGGAGAAACAGGCGTTTCGTGAGGAGTACCATCGTCAACTGCAGTTTCTTCTGAACCTGCGCGCAGCGAAAGAGCGGCTGGATCTGCTCTCGGCTCGCATCCGCACGAACTTACTCCCCGCGTATGAAAAAACTCTCGTGGAAGTGAAGGCGGCGCTTGGGGTGGGGGCGATGCGTTCCGACGGCGTCACACTGCGAAGTAGTGTGCCGAAGCGCGTAGCCTATCCAAAATTTATTGCCCTTGCAGAGGCATACGAGGATGTGGAGCAGAGTTTTGAGGGATTTGAGGAAATCGAGGCCCTCGTGGATATTTCCATTTCTCTTGGAAAAATATCAAAGATGTCGTTGCCGCCAACGCTCCTGGAAGAAGCCCTGGCGACATCGAAGAGTGAAAAGGCTGCCGATTGTGCTGCCATTGCAGCCTACGTTGCCACACGTACCGAATCATGCCCTTTATTTTATGCAAAGAATGCTACCGAGCTGAAGCAACACGCGTCTTTGCGTGCGATGAACGGATTATGTCCTGTGAGTTTCGTTGAAGACGGCATTTGCGTGGAGGGGAGAACGAGCGAGGAGGACAGTGCGTGCGCTGGCTTTGTCGTTCGTCCGGCACCGGCGGGCAGCCTGGGCGAATGGTACGCCTTTTGCTCCGAATACGCATTGCGGCGTTTTGTAGCGTCACCGTTTTGGTTCATTGAGGCTGTGAAACGGATGGTACGGGAGGATTTTGTGCTTATCAGCCTGCTCGGCTTTCTTGATCGTCTTCCGCACGAGTTGTATATCAAAGGTACGCGCAAGTACGAAGCACGCGAGGGTCTTGTCGCAGCGGAGGCGCGCCAAGACGTCTGCACACAAACAGGGCAGATTGACCCTTACATGGACCACAATTACCGCTGGAACGAGTGGGACTTGCGGCGCCAGGCACTGAAGCTTGTGAATCTCTTTGACATGCGTACACACTCGACCCAAACGATTGCGTCTCATTTTCGCCGTGATGACACGACGCAAATCCGGCCTCCTCGGGATGACGAGACGCAGACCATGCAGGACGCTGCAGTGCAGCCACCACGTACGGTGCAGTACCTTAAAGGGCTGCGGGGTACCAAAACTTCCGCGATAGAAACCGTCCAGCGAACCTTTCTGTACTAACGGGCGGAAGGATGCGCGTCACTCTCGTTCTCTCTCTTTCTCTCTTGTTCCGTGTTTCTCTGTGTGAGCATGCGAGAGTAACTGAGCATTAAAAAGACAAAACACAAAACAAAACAAAAGGAGAAAGGAGGAGGGGGAGTCGGCGGTGGGGTGGCATTGGACTCACATGTGAATTGAAACAATCATGTACGGTAGACTCCAGAGTGGGACGGAAGAAAAAAAACAGGGGAAGAAAAAAAGAGGAAAACGCAGGAGGGGTTAGAAATGGGAAGGACAGCTGTTGTTCTTGTCGTTGCACTTTTATTGGCATTTCTTTTTTTTTTTTCCTTTTTTTTATTTTTAACGCAAACTAGAGGAAAATAAAGAACGAAAAAAAAGAACATTAATAATATCGTACCACCGCAAATCATGGCAGTTAAAAGCTTGGAGGATCGGCTTGTGGAGCGCTTCATGCGTTACTCCGCCATCTCCAGTCAGAGCAACCCGGCGAATGTCGGAAAGTGCCTGCCGACGTCTCCTGGGCAGCAGGAACTCGCTGAGCTTCTTGCCGCGGAGCTGCGTGCCAGCGGTCTGGAGGACGTTGTGTGCGACGACCACGCGACGGTGACGGCAGTCAAACGGGGGCGCAGGAAGGATTGCCCGACCATCGGCTTTATTGTTCACCTTGACACGGTTGACGTTGGCCTCAGTCCTGTTGTGAAGGCTCAGAAGCTGCGCTACGAGGGCGGAGATATTTGTCTCAACAAGGAGCAGGACATTTGGCTGCGTGTGGCGGAACACCCCGAGATTGAACGGTACGTGGGCGAAAACATATTGTTCAGCGATGGCACGAGTGTTCTTGGCGCGGATGACAAGGCGGCCGTGACGACCGTGATGGAGATGATCACGAGCCTGCGGCCAAATGAAAAGCATGGAGACATCATTGTCTGTTGCGTCCC